CCTATTTGGATCCAGGAAATATTGAAAGCGATTTGCAATCAGGGTCACAAGCTGAGTATCGAGTAAATTTTCTAACTCTTTATTAAGCAGTATCTTTTATTTAATCACTTTTTTCTGGTTAGATTTAAGTCCACAAAAAAAGGGAAGCAGATATTTCAAATCAATCATCGTAGGAAACTATAAATCGCTCTGTTTTTAGCTCCTGTGGGTTTTGCTATCTGCACATATTATTGGTTTGTTTCTTCAGCGATTATCCGCTCGTTTGGGTGTTGTAAGTGGAAGGCATATGGCAGAAGTGAATAATTTTTTTTTTTTTTTTTTAAAGCAATAAAAAAGTATACTGAAAGCTACGATTCTGTCAGTGTTACAATATTTATGATCCGTCGAGAATGAAATGAAAATTCCTCATTTACTAGGTGGCGTATGAATATTACCCACGAACGCCGCGGCTCCTTTTATGGGTAATGATTGAAATAGCAATTATTGGAAGCGATATGCAGGAAGTTATCGGTACATCGATTGCAATCTATCTTGTAACTGGAGGCTGGTGAGTTACTCACATGTAAATTTACATCCATATTAGTTATTCATGATATTCTACTTGTTCAAAAAATTCGAGAATTTTGAGTGTTTGCAGGATTCCTTTATACATTGGCGTTCTCATTACCGTTCTAGAAACATTTTTGTTCTTATTTTTGGATACTTATGGCTTTCGGAAGCTAGAAGTTTTCTTCGTAATTTTGATTGCGATTATGGGGGCTACCTTCGGTTATGAAGTAAGTTATCGCTTAGAAATTTCTGGTATGTTTTTTTTTTGACATTGAAATAAAGTAGTTTAGCTGGTATGTTCTTAACAAACTTAAAATGTAAGAATGTTTTCAGTATGTAATAGTAAAACCGGATCAGCTGTCGGTCCTGAAAGGTATGTTTTTACCGTGGTGCGAAGGCTGTGGTCGTGATCAGTTCATGCTTGCTGTTAGTATTGTTGGTGCTGTTATAATGCCTCATAATTTATACCTTCATTCCGCGCTTGTTAAGGTTCATCTTGCTTCACTTTATTTGCTCTTTAACTGAGAAATAAATGAAGTCATTTGGTAAAGTTTGTATAGGTTTCATGCTCAGCTAAATCTAAAGGTTGCATTTATGATTTAGAAAATATTTTTTAGAGTCGCGAAGTAGATAGGAAAAGGAAAGCCAGCATCCAGGAAGCAAGTTTTTACTTCTTTATCGAATCCGGTGTTGCATTATTATGTAGTTTTATAATTAATGTACTTGTTGTTGCTGTTTTTGCGCATGGATTGTATAGCAAGACTAATTACCAAGTAGTATGTTTTCATTTTGTGCCACGATGATTTGATTTCAACTTTGACATAATTCAAAACAAGTAAAATTTGTCGAGAATTTATCAGTACGCTACATAAAACCATTTGGTGCTGTAGTATTGTATAATTTTGTCTATTTAATTTTGATTTAATTTCGTTTAAATTTATTTCGTAGAGGGTAAATTGTGACGCACGTAAAGATAGCATGGATGCTACAGTATTTCCTTATGATAATGAGACGGCTAAATCGGATTTATACAAAGGTGGCATATTTCTTGGCTGTGAATTTGGTTTAGTTTCTCTCTATGTTTGGGGTATCGGCATCTGGGCAGCAGGACAAAGTTCTACGATGACTGGTACTTATACTGGGCAATTTGTGATGGAGGTGTGTATGTTTACTAGAAATGACATTATTTATTTTGCTGTTATTTTCGGATTTAACAAAGTTGGGTGCTGCAAACGAGAATTTTGAATTATTAAATTTCTTTCATGTAATGTACTGCAGGGTTTCTTGCAAATCCGTTGGTCTCGTTGGAAACGAGTTTTGGTTACTCGTAGCATAACAATTGTGCCGGCATTATTGCTTGCATTGCGCATAAATAGTATGCATGACTTAACGGGGATGAATGATTTGTTAAATTGTGTTCAAATGGTGCAACTGCCTTTTGCGCTTATTCCAGTGGTAACATTTACATCTAGTGCCAAAGTCATGCTCGATTTTCGAAATTCCAGGTTTCTTCGTTCTTTCTATGTTTTCTTTAACTCTTAAATATAATATTATGCAGTAAAATTGATTGCATTTTTATCCAAAAAAAGGGCTTAAGGCTTATACGAAAAAACCAAAAATTTCATATTAGTGGATCTGTCTAATTTTTGTCTTTGATTTCTTCTACAGAGTAATTTATTTTCGGCTTCCTTATTTTGCAATTCATTTTTAGATTTTTCCAAATTTCGGCGTTACTTGTATCTTGTATTGTAATTTTTATTAATTTATACTTCTTCGCGGATTACATAACTGGAGAGCTGGGAAACACATGGTACATCTGGATAGTACTCTTGATCCCATCCCTCGCATATCTTATATTCGTCTGCTATTTGGTATATTTACGACTGTTTTCAACCAAGTTTTCATAATCCGATGTTTATCCGCAATATTAGTTTTTTCTTCACTAAATTCAATATACACATCTTATGAGATAGGAATGACAAAATGTCTAGTTCATATATGCCGAAACATATTCTGAAAGCATTAAACAAGTGAAAAAGGCTTTAGTATATTGACAAACAGTTGAGGGAAGTTGAATTAAGTAATAGTGTGGTGAGAGTATTGTAGTTTATTTTAGGAAAACATGTGTTGCTCAGTAAATTGAATGGCTGCACTTTCATGATGATTAGCTTTTTAATTTTCTGTATAACCATTTCATTTGATTTTGCGCATTGAAACTGAAGCATTTCCATTATTTTGCTGAAAATTTAATCTCTGAAATTTTAGCTGTTCGTATGCTTGGCGGCAATAGGTGTTCTGACTTCTCCAAAATGGAAAGTAATTTTTATTTAAATACAATTTTTATTTAAATTCTTCAGCTGTTTAAAGTTTCAGCTAATTTTTTTTTGTTTTGTATATTAGACATCGATCACTTGAGTGGTGTATAATAATGCATAAAGTTCTTTAGATGGTAGTTAACTTTTCATATTTTTAGCTGTATTATTTTGGGGTGTGAAATTTTAGATGCAAGTAACCCCATCCCACAGATACATAAATAAAAATAATAAAAAATAAAAATAATGTTCTGACTTTACATATTTTCCGTTTTTAGAAAATACCTGGTTGCGATCCAATACATTTCAATACTGATGCACCTTGGCTCTCCGAAGAACAGGAAATTGTAGCTAGAAAGCGTATCGATAACAATCGTTACCCTCAACCTATCATCTAATTTTTTTTCCTGGTGGTGCATCATTTTCATGCTTTACACATGATTCTTGAATAAGTTTGTGCAAACTATGAATTTCTAACTATGAAGTGTTTCTACTTATGAAGAATTTTGCATTAACAGAAAATATGCTATCTCCTGAGATCTACTGTAAACTAATGTAGCAGTGTTGAAAACACTAAGGAAACAGGAGCTATGACAACATAAAACAGTAACACATCCATGTGCAAATATATGTCATAAATTAGAAAAAATTGATCCATTTTTGTTAGTTATTCGATTAGGTAGCCTTATTTAGTACAGCCTCTTCATGCATGTTTATAATTTGATGAGTCGAATCCTTCTAATATTAAAGGGGCGTAGTTTGCAATAATACTTCGCTTCTTCTAGATTTGCAGAAGTTTTTGAAATATCTAGTATCCTCGTGCATTTACAATTCTACATATATAAATTATAAATTATATAAGATTCGTGAAAGCGCATGCAGTGACGTTTCGTTGCATTGATCTATTTATCACTATACTTATTAATTCAGTATATTTTTTCTGTTCTTTGAAGTGCGCTTCAATTCAGCTGATAACTTTCTAGTTTTACTGCGAAAGATTTTTAATTGATGACGACTATGTGAATTTCGCCCATTTAGCTTGAAATGCAGTTCCTGTGATTATAACCTTCTAGAATATGATGCATTTTCTGGCAGAATCATGAGGATGATGCGAACCTTTCATAACTGAAGTCGTGTAGATATTGCAGTTATTAAAATAATACGTAGGGAACTCTACATTTTTGTTAGTTTGGAATTACTAGTAGTGTTTCTTTAATTGTGAAAAGCTATTGGCCGTGTTGCAGGAAGAATACAAGAACTTGATAGAAATTAGTTATGTATATTCTTCCTGCCAAAGAACTATTTTAATCGATTAGTTTTCATAATAGTATAGTATATCTCAAGTAGTCATTAGGAGGAGACTTCTCCAAACTTATTTCTGTTGTCCGTTATTATGTCGTAAAGCAATCTGTGATTTCATAAAATTTATTTGTTCCACAGAACAAATTTCAAGAAGACTGAAGACAAAACAAACTCTTCAAGTGCCGTTGCACGGTATTGAATTACTGATAAGATTAATGGAAACTGCGCATGGTAAAATGTAAAACTTCCCCTGTTTATTCATTTATATAAAATTGAATTAAATGTCTCGGAGAATAGCGTTTTGATAAGTAACAATGACTTGGTTGGGAAATGTGAGTTTTTAACTAACTGCTTTTCTTTTTACTATGGGATTTTGGTATGAAGTTTTACTAAATTTTACTAAATTCGAATGCGAAGTGTTGGTTGGAACCTCAAAAGATTAGCAGACAAGTTTTTGGAGCCGTAGATTTAGGGAAAGATTTGAGAATTAAAGTACCACATAGTATATTTCTGCCTCGCCTTCTTCATCCTCAGTTCTCAGTTAACCAGAAATGCACAATTTTCAGTAACTAAAATAGCCAATGGACTAGAAATTTAAGGCATTTACATTTTGCGATTCATCTGTATAAATTAGCTTCCTGAACAGCTATTTCACTTTATTCCATAGGTAAACAATGGTTTTTAAAAACTTCAACACCAGAATACAAACGCATATCAGAGCAGCGACATCCATCTTGTACTTCTTAGTTAGGGAAAAATATAAAAATTGCTTATATTCATCGTTATCAGCTTTAGTCATTAGATCATAAGTATAGGAAGCAAACAGCACAAATTTGACTACTTCTTGATCAGAAGAGCATAAATACCTGCGAACACAGCAGGTATTACCTATAAAAGGATTCAAATTAGGTTTCTTGGGTAATTGAATGTAGGTAATTGGAAATGAAATATTATAAGAAATTAGTCTGGATTTCAAAGTAATACATTACATATTGAGTGTAGATATGCTTCCGGCTACTAATTATAAACCGCAATATCAGGTAGACTAAGAAAAGTCTTAATTGAAAAGATGAATAAGAATAGTACCGTGATTACGCTTGCAATAATAAGCAGCCAAGCAGCCACATGCATTACATCTAATAAATCGGACCGTAGTAACATGTAGCATGTTTCCTTATGAACGACACTTTCATCCGGATGATACAGGTCCGTTTTCAGACAACGTTGGACCATTTCATTTACACAGCTAAAAATCTTGTATTCGAAACGATTTAACGATATAAGATATAAGACCTGAAATGTTTGAACTAATCTTTTTATGAGTGCATGGAGTTCAAATGATGAACTGAGTGGAGGGCAAGTTTTTAAACTTGTTATTGCGGAGTTTGATTAACAATTTAATCAATCGAAAGTAAACCATGACAGTGGAAGTTTTTGCTTGAATCCTTTTTGATGCATAAACCATTTCGATGTTTTCCAGATCCTCAAGTCATCGGTACCATTTACTCCACAGCAATTGAACTAAAAAAAAAAAAAAAAAGAACAGATTCATTCAATACTCATTCTGAACGTACCTTGTATAAGTTATATTGACACATGAAGTCGAAATCCCACCGGTTAAAAAACTGTTTGTAGAAAGAAGCGTGTAAAAGTAAAACAAAAAAAAAGACTTCGTGCAAAAAAGCTTGGAATTTTCACATTGCTTTGAAGTTCGTCCCAGGCATAAGTAATTCTCTCCATTTCCGGTAACCCATAAAGTTCACGTAGTGATGTAAGCATTTTTAGATGAAGCGGTATCCTATGTTGTAACTGCAAAAATCATTGATAAAGTCTGAGATTTCAATGGAATATGGACACAAAATCAAATCAAGTCCACCTCTCGAAATAAATAAGTGGTCAGAACGCTTGTTTCAACCTTCAATAAAGTAACAGACCTGATGTCTGAATACGAAACCCATAATACCACCAATAAACATCATTACAAATATTACTCCGCTAGCTATCACATACTGAAATAATTTCACAAACTCTTCCCATTTGAAATTTTATTATATGTTTATTTCAAACAATAAAAATAAATTAATGATATGTTTAACATTCTTTTGTCCTTACACGATATGCAATGTGAAGCATACGAAATAATTTTAGCTCAAGTAGTTTAGCATTTTATAAATATCATGACCAGCATGCTGCAATGCTGTAGTGACCGAATAATTTCCGTCATCATACTCATTTTTACTAATCATACAACTTTCTCAAAGATGAACAAACCGAATACACGAAACATCGCATTTCTTTTGTTAAAGCATAAACCGACATGCTAGTATTAATAAGTGCAAATATTGAGCTGAAAACCATAATACGAGCAACATCCACGTACAAACTTGGCTCAAGCAGTTCTGCGTACTGTGATCGGTTCTGTATTAACCAACAACCGTATATTAGCACTGCTAATAAAGCCATCTGCAGAAGAAAGAAAAATCTGAATTCAAACTTTTAACACATTTGTTACGAATACATTTAATATATTTCCTGTAGATTTCAAAGTGCGAAACATTAACTTATAAACGAAAAATTTAACCAAAATTTGATCAAAATTTTCAGTTTTATCAAAATCCATTTAACATTTTTTCCCATGAAGCAAAAATTGTTACAATTGAAAGAAGCTGTGTGCTGAAGAACACTAGACGTGTTGCCCTTCCAAATATACCGTAAGCTGTCCATCGGCCAAAAACTTCCATTGTGCAGTATTTCCAGAAAATCCAGAAATAAGAAATTCTTTAGAAAATTTAAAGCTTATAAATGAAAATAGCTAAACCAATGATTGATCTTTTGATGGCCTGAAATTTATGAAAATTAATGAGTATCCACTTTATCTGAAAATAAATCAGCTTCTATTGAAATTGACAAATTATTTTGTTAACATAAGTTTAAATTTATGTACAAAAAGCAAAATGAAATTATACCTACAAACCATTTATTTTTATTACTACAAATCATTAATTGATAACTCGCGTAAACATCGCAATTAACTCTATACATTTCATTTAAAGCATTTAAATAAAAAGATCTAAAAAAATGAGAAAATTAGAGACACATACCGGAGATGCGACTGCTATTAAGCACCAATAGCAAGAAATTTGATGCTTGTTCGTGTTTTCCAGTTCATTTTGCCAGTCACAAAATGTTGAGATGAATACGGCAATTCCTTTCCAATTATTTGATAGCAACGCCCCTATCACAAAAAATATTTTTCTCGTAGACAATATAAGTCCCACATGAGTTAAAGTAACGATTTGAAGAAAAAGCCATCCTAGGGTTACTTTTTCAAAAAGTTATAAGACAAAAAGTGAATATCCTTTAAGAAGCGACAAATCTTAAAAAATCGCCGGAAACATATCATATTTCCGATAATGGAAGGGATTTGCTAGACTTATAAAGTCGTTTTGATTAATAAACCATTTGATTCTAGAAGTCCACAGTAAAATATTGCCTCTACAGAAACAATAAATTTCTTATAGAAAATTAGTCTTAAAGAATGTAAAAAGTATCCTAATAAAACCCGCCCGGAACATGCACTGATGCAATTGACTTTTTGAAACTTCAAAACTTGAAGTTAATTCTCCAATGTTATTCCCTACGAAACTGGGTTTCAAGTGCTGGAATTTCCAGTTTCGTTACAACATATTCCGAAAGGTTGACTCTGCTAACTCGGAGGTTTTTTTTTTTATTTTATTAACTAATGTGAAAGTTCAAATTCAAAGTAGAAACAACGAATAGGACGCTGTTATTGATTGTAGCGATGGACACCAACAGCAAACCTTTATGAGCGGTTGTTCTAAAATCTTTAATACAAAGAAATCTAACCGCATCACAATACCCCGCCATGCCCCTCCCTCTCCCCATTCCCCTTCCGATCGTTTTCTAGTCTCCCAATAGCCATTTAAAACATCAATTGTGCTGAAGGTACAATACAACACGAAGCATAACTTCAGTTTGCTCAATTCACAGGCGACAAAACCTGACATCAGCACAGCTTACCAAGCAGTACTTCCCAGTAGATTGAACCAAATTCCCATCCAGTTCAAGTTTTACAAATAGCACATTCCCAAAATCATGTGAAAATACTCCAATTTCAAAACAGAAAATAAAGCTAATGCATCAAATTATCAAATCCAATAAATTATCGATTTCACTTAACTGCTATATCAGAGCTTCATATACATAAAGTAAATTGTTTAGAATTTCTTGATATGTGCTACAGTTTCCGTGCATTGCTTTTTGAAACATGAAATGACATTCTCAGAAGTTGAGCAAGCCACGTTAGATGTTTGGTCTTCTGGGAGTGTTAAAAACAAAGAAGGCTTTCTTATAGTTTATGCAAATTGCTCGGCACAACATTCTGCATTATATTTCGACGAAAACATGAAATCCAACGGTCCACATTAAAAACCAATTCGCAAAATCCTGATAAATGCTTATGCAGGTAAGCATGAAGTGTCGAATTCAGAAATTGGAAGCAAAAAGATTACACTATGAATGGAAATTATTTTTCATAGATCTGATCTTTGCCATAATAGTGATAGGATCTGAAGATTTTGTCACGTTTCTCAGTTCATCACTTATGCTGAAATTAAATTAGTCAGACCATATCGCAAAAAAAAAAAACAAAGAAATGGCCCTTTGATAAAGCAATGTATAGCAATTCCAGTCTTTGTGCCTTCTCGACAATAAGCGTTTTTTGTAAACACTAACCGAACACGCATAAAAGGATTGAAACGTTTCTCTTCCTCAATTGTAGAAGGTACCGTATAGTCACCAGCCTTTCGTCGTTCTTCTGCCCAAGCTAATTTTTTCGTAATTTCATCATTTTTTGGTTCAATTGAATGAGCAAATTTCAAATTCTCAACAGTGTATTCATGTCCACAATATATCTTCTAAAATAAACCGATTGGGATACAATAACACTGAATATCTAATCGTAAAAATGAAGTACCGTATCATTCGGCAGGCTGCCCAGTTTTTTATTCAGAGCAGAATCCATATCTGCAGCATTACCTTCAAAAAAACGTCCGCATCCTGTAACAATAAAAGAGGAAGAAAAGGCAAATATTTCTTATTGGTAAAGATTTGGTAAAGAAAGGTAAAAAGCGATATTAAAGAATATGTTATGAAATGAAATCAGCAGAACTACTGTCAGCTTAAAGTAACAGTGTTCTGACTGATTTTGGAAAATCAGCTTGGACGATGAAGCTTGTGAGATCAAATAACCTTTATAAAAGAGAGAAACAAAGTATAACAAAAAGTCTACTTCATCTTTTACAACTTTACATACTATTACAAAACAAATGTAAAGTAATTATAAAATCTACTCTTCCGGCTTGATTTGTGAAAATGACTGCACTAATTGCCTATGGTAATATCACTCTTGGCTAAAAAATTTGTAGTTTGTTGTAAAGAAATGAAGAAAATCTCTTGTTACCTCCTATAAACAGTGTGTCGCCAGTAAAAACTACTTTGTCACCACTACCATCGGTAACATAATAGCAAACGGAACCCGTTGTATGACAAGGCGTATACAAGCACTTCACATCAAGTTCACCGATCTGTGGCGGAGGTACCCTTATACTATGATAATTTATTTGATCCAAAAACTCGTCGTAGTTTGAACTTAATTACAACGGTTTCAACTTTTTCCAGACAAAACGGTAAGCCCTGCTACCAGTACTTAATTTAACTATAAATAAGTAGCACAGAAAAAGTGAAAGCTGACAAATCCCACTTCTCAATCGAATGCGCTATTAAAAATGTAACATACCTTGAAAATATCACCATCCCTCACCTTGTTGGTAATACTTGCAATACGATCATCACCTCCATAAATAGATAACCCACGATATTCGTCAGAAAGCTCATTCGTCGCACCAGCATGATCCCTGAAGGTAAGGAGAGTACCGTATGCTGCTTATGATAAATAAAGTTGATTAAATAGATCGAAATTATACCAGTGATGATGAGTAACCAGGGAAGATGTGAGCTTCACACCATTCTCCTTGACAGTTTTATTTATCTGCAAGTATTCGCCATTTCAATATTCATTCTACAAAATATTAAATATTCCATACAACAAAAACATCTTCTGTCCCTGAACTTACAGTTTCCTACTTCAACCAAGTGGATCAGTAAAGACTGATAAGGTCAGATTAACTCTCAAGTAATGCAAACTCACGCCTTTCAAGTCAACCGGGTCGATAATAGCAGCATCACTGCTCTTTTCATCAACCAAAAGATACATGTAATTATCACTCAATGCTGGGACAGGTATGACTTTCATTTTTCGGTCTACAACACTTCTCGAAAATTTTCGACTTACAACCCGTAGTAATGCGAGGTACATACAGTGCCCCTATTCACCACAGAATGCAGCCTAAAAAATGTGCTAGTTGTTTGATAGAAAATAAACGGCAAATTAAAAGTTTGAAAACGTCAACACAATGACCAGTTTCAAGCATTACCAAACCTGGAAATTTTTAAACACAGAAAGAATAACATGACGAAAAACATATACGCCGTTCGAACGGTCACAAAAGTAATTAATTCTATTCAGAAATATTACAAAACTGATTCATAACAGCTGCCAAATCTAATCATACAAATGTGAATGTGATTGAAAAAACCCAAATGAGAGCGTAATTACAAGATATGGCAATATATTTAATTTAATGCTAATCGTTTATGAAGAGAAGACAAACAGTTCTGCAAAGACGATATAACAAAAAAAAAAAAAAAAACACAGTTAATACATCTGCAGAACTATAATTTATACATATGCGCTTCTCGGGAAAGAACAAAGCTGACAACTTCAAATTAAAACCCACAATTAGCTTATAACCGTCTATTCTTTCTCATAAAAGGCTTATCAAATCGAAATTCGAACTGATACATATCAAAAAGTGTCATATGAATATCAATTTCGTACCATTCTCAATTATCAAATACATACTTTAAATCAAAAAAAAAAAAAAAAAAAAAAACATAAAATACATATCATAAAAAAAAAATAATAATAATAAATAAATAAAAGAACTAAATAAACTAAACTAAATAAGCTATAATTTGTGATACTGCAATTAAATAGTGACTATCACTGTTTAACTAATAAAACGAATGTTTAGATATTACATGAAACTAACGAACTTTGCTGAGGTAACAACACTATGACTAAATTTAAAAGACCTCTGCAGTAGATTTGTTAATTAAATCTATTTATTAAACCTACAGTGATCTAGTTTCTTTTACATGTTTCTTCGTACAATCATGACAGAAATCAGTACTCAAAGACTCTGAACCTAATTTTTGTTTCATTTCAGAATAAATCTGTTGCAGGGGATTATTCTCGAAAGTAAATGGATCACCACCACTCCAATAAAACGGACAGAAATTTCACATTCAAACAAACAGCACAATTACAGGTTATTAACAACTCTAGTCTTCGGCCATAAAATTTTCTTCCAAATTTTCACCAAATCCAGTAAGAACATTATTAGGATCGGAATCTGGATCAATAGGTAACAAATGATCTACAGATGAAGCGCGCAACATCCTTTCAGTAACTGGTTCACCATCTTCAGAGACCTGTAATGATAAAAAGTCACGACATATTAAAAAAATAGCACTCATGAAAAAAGTTTCACAAATGTTAAGATGAAATCAAAGAAATCTAAGCATGTTTACCTCTCCGATCTCTGCTTCATTTCGCACTGTTTCGCCTAGAACTGGAACAGTGGGAGATTGCCGAGTTTTTTGACCAGTAGAGTTCTGGTTGGCACGCACACGTTCTTCATGAGATTCAGTAATCACCGAGTCTATTATTGATATGACACTATTTTTCGCTATTTCTACCATTGATGACACTTCATTTACTTGCTAAAAAACATAATTTGGAATTTAAACAATAACTGAGATAAATTTCCTGCGAGACAACAATTTTTCAAGCTCGAAACAACTGAAGTCAAAGCCGATAGTAAAACTGCCTCGTATTTTGTATTGCCCAACATAAACTTTGAATATATTCTACATCAGAAGCTTCACTTTCATCATCTTGGAGCACTTTCAGCTAAGAACACTGTTTGGGTTAGAAAATCTTTACAAAGTTTTTACTTATTTCTTCACAAATGAATTTGAATACACTATTCGAAAAGTTTCGTGCTAATATTTAATGCATGACCTCAGCACCTTCTACATAGTTTCTACCACTTTATTCCTTAAAGACTACTTTTTCACGCAGTTACTTCTATAACGTTTTGAAAGTGTTGGCATCTTTTGTAAGCCCTTGTTCTTTTGGTCCATTAAATTAAACAATTTTTTTCTTCAATCTTCAATTTTAATCCACTAAATCAAACAAAAAAATGTCCATTTTTCTTCTACATCCTTAATACTGATTTTCATAATCCAATAATTCTCTGTTAATAGGTTAAATATTTGAATATCCAAAAAGCTTTTCCTCCCATCTAAGCTTACTTGGACGACCGTAAATGTTACAAAACTACCAATTTTGATTTCTGAGCAAATGGAAATATGGCAGTATCAACTTCTGTAGTGACAAAGCCCACTTCTCCATCTTCCTTCGGTTTTCGAAAACATTGCACTTCCGTTTTTCGTATAGATCTCTGGTATCAGACAATTTTTGCATTAACTTAGAACGTCGCATAACATTTACCTTTCTCCTGCAATATGCAGTCTACATCCACCCCTTATTAGCGAACTGCATGTGGTAATGAAATGTTTATGTTGGAATCCTTCGACAACATGGCACCTAGAATTTTGCCCATTTGATCCTCTCTGCAACCTAGGGTTGATTTGAACGATGCAGTAGTTTTCTGTTTGATGATTGCAGTCGCCTCTATAACAAACTTCGTAGCTTAACTGCAGACCGCCGCGAAAGTTATCAAACGAAATCATGTAAGCGTTAGTAGTGTAATTGTTTAACCAATTGTTTGAGACAACTGATATTGAATTCTGTCATATTTGGTAACCACATTTATCTGTTCCATCAGTAAACATTATCAGAGCGTGCGTTCCGGAAGATACCTGATGTGCGATGAAAACATTTACATCATTTGAAGCTGAAGACCGCAAAGAAGTGATTAACCTGATTAACTCTTTTAACTTCTGCAGCCTTCTTTTTTTTGGAACTACCAGATGGTTTCCCCATTGCATCGTTTGAAATCTTCTCTGTTGTTGGAGATATCGGATCATTATCCGGAATTTCGAGGCATGAATCCATAAACGGATCACGAAATGTGAACAATCGCTGACAAAGTACTCTAAACAACCAATACTTATCATTATTAACAGTTATTGATCAGCTTTTGAAGTGACAAGACAGCTTATGGTTCGCAAACAATAGAAAGCACAAATACTTTGTTGGCATCGATGAAGACAAATAAGCGCAAAGTAAACCTTTTCAGGCGCTTTAAATGATTGATTTCTTTTTTGATATGATATAAACGATTCCGCAACCGATTGTTGGACTGAAAGTTGCTCAGTGATTTTAAACGACTTAAACATATTAGACAAGAAGTACACCTACAATCTTTGAAATTACTGCTAGAAATTGAACTACAGAATATTCGAATAATACAGCAAAATTGACGAAGTCGAAAAACTTCATATCCACAATAAGGTACATAGCAGGCATATCTGTTTAATGAAAAACAGATTAAAAAACGAAAAAGCTACTGAATGAAGCACGTAATACCATATAAATATATTCATATTTCTGTTGCAGGTGAAATTTTTTAAGGCGATAGCGTTCAGACACTGGTGACAATGGTTCGTTCTGCAAATCAACCGAAACTGTAGGTGATGATATGACGAATGCTTCACTGCATGAAGGTTCACTATTACGTGAATCTATGCCAGAGATAAGCTGAATATTCTACAAAAAATGAAGTTGCGACAGCTATGAAGAACAACTAACATTTGATGCATCTAAACGAATTCAATACGGTCGCAATTCGAAAGAAACCAAAAGTTTATTCAACAAAAAGTTAATCATCCAAATAGAGTAACATTAATGCATAACATACTTACCACTCGCTTTGATACTGTATCAACCATGAATAAACTTCGATGAAAATTCTGATGATTTAACAGTAAACTGAAAAAGTGGAACGTGCAGAAATTGTAGTAACAGTTTTCTCTACATTTCTATGAAAATATAAAGAACACATGCCCAATGCGCCGGCTAATGCGACAGTTTGTTGAAGGATCTCCGCAAAAAACCTTGTCCATCATACCTCTATAGACCATACAAACCATAACATTACCACAGCTTTTTAAAACCATTTAACAACTTATTTGTTGCTGCGTAAAGGACTTTAAAAGAATACCCATGTGTCCTATATGATGTATTTCACTTAACGAGAAGATTAGTGGCTGCAGCTCTTCTCTTCTTGACAGTTTAAATGCCCTCACTTCGTTATGTCCCGTATCAATCTTTCTTATCAAACCCTACAACAGCATCTTTCTTGTCTATTATACTTCTCTACTTCATCATCTCATAAATAATACATCAAACAGTGTTAACAAGCAAACAAGCACGACAATCATAATAACATATTTATTCTACGTGGTCCAACGTTATATCTAAAAAGCCCTCCCGAGATAACAGCGCATCATCCTCCGGATGATAAGCGCTTATGTGAGCTGTAACAGCGCAATATTTGCATGAAAATATTGACGGATGCCATGGTCTTTGGGTGTTTTTACTGTTTCTAGAGATGGAGTAAGGACGTTTTTGATTTAATCAGCTTGGGAACGACATTTCCCTACATCATTTAGAACCATTTGAAGGGTTTTCTTTTATGTCCTGTATGTGCTTGTTTGCACTCATTGGGTGTGGTACCTCTCCAGTCCTTGTCCTTTCTTCCCCTCTCCCTTTTGCCACCGGTACCGCACGAGATCTCAATATTTCCATACACGGGACGAGTATTTGTCGAGAAGTCAATCGGTAGTGTTAAAATTCTGGTACCATGCATTATGCAAAATATTTGCTTGTAGTGCTACAAAAACAGAGCTCTGATTTATTATTGGTGAATAGCACATTCCATGCTATAACTATCCATACTACAAATACCATACGATGTTTGTAGCTAATCTGAGTGAATGTATCGTAGAAAATGGTGATTCTTTTGGGAAGGAAATCAAGACGAGTAAGGCTTATTTTCCAGTGCTTCTTTCCTTATTCATATTTTTTGTATAATAACTCAAAAAACCTCTTTTGAAATTCCCGTCACTTAATACTGAATGCTGCTAACCTGAGCCCTTGAATTTTCAACATCTTTCAGCAGTAATCGAATTCCCTTTTTTGATGTAAACCTAAATCGAACAGTAATACATAATATAATACTTTCCTTCTTCACTTCTTCAGCTAACTTTGAGTGACTTATGAAATTGAAAAAGAAATGAAAAACAACAGAACATTCATCTGCTTCATGAGTAATTTTGCGATATTGGTATAAGCTATTCATTTCTAGATTTCAGCGCTAATTCCTAAATTAAAAAATATTCCAGGTTATGCGATTGCATATTATCAATGAAAACAATTTAGTTTCGGACAAGTTTTCTGCTTAACTAATTGTTGCTGAAATGAAATTACTCCAACTTCAATTTTAGCTATAGCAGTTGCCGCTTTTGCCAACTACCGAGTCACGGACAATGCCGAACCGTTTTTCTAGTACGCAATCTTTGACGTTTCAATTTTGATTTACTAATCTATTTGATTACAGAAAAAATCTTATCCCAGAGCAATATATTTGCAGTTCATAGCAGTTCATAGCACTGCTTTGTCCAGTGCTAATGTAACTTCCAGTTTGGCGTGGTTATACGTCAGTATTACCGGAACTCCTCTTTTCTCTCACAGAACCATTCCGTTTAATTCAACTATCAGTTGACTATGGATTCCAAATTTGAACTCTCTAATTTTTGTTAGTTATTGTTTGACCATGTCCTCTAACTTCATTTAAATAAATTGAAAAAGACAATATTTGGCAGTTCGCTTTTCTTGCAGGTAAAAGTAAACTGGGACGTCTCACAATGCCTGAACCTGAAAGTCCACCAAATCTCGATCTTGACGATAAATGCATGATGAAGTAAGATGTACATTCCAGTTTAAATCATCAGCATTGTGCTGATTATACATTTATAAAAATTTTTTTCCTTCCGTTAAATTTCTTTAAAAGAACTGTTTGGATAGCATTTAAATATATTTTAAGTTGGTTGGGAGTTACTGGAAATAAATTCAGCAAACGTTTTTGCGTTTTTTACTATCCTGGACTATATCTGTATTTATTTCATATATATTTAGACGGACTTTAACGTCACTTTTAAGCGAGAAAACTTTTAACAAAATGAGTTTTTTTGATAAGAGACTATCATTCTGTACCGACTATCCTAAAAGTATATGATGTAAGAAAAAAATGAAAAATAAAGAAAAAAAATAAAATACACCAAAATTGATTGCTTCTTATTTACAAATAGGAAGGAGCCTCAAATTCTGTTGTGATATTTCTTAGCATCGGGTATTTGTAGGTTTTCGGAAGATGGTGACGAGGTTCAAGTACGAGCTCAAGACTTAGAGAAGATTGAAGAACTTGGAAGGGGAGCATATGGGGTTGTTGAAAAAATGCGTCACTGTCAAACGAATACTGTTATAGCTGTTAAGGTTGGTCTAAGATAACAAACTTCTTTCAGTAATTCTTATTTTAGAAGGGCGTAACACGCTCTGAGGTTTGCAGAGAGAGAGGTGAACTATAACTTTTAAAAGAAGTTTGAAAATTTCATTTTTTCAGCGTATTCATTCTCAAATAAATGATGAAAGTCAGAAACGAATGCTTGTGGAATTACAAGCTTGCATGAAAAGCGATTGCTGTCCACAGGTAGTCTTTGTACTTTGAAATATTGAGTTGTTATATTAGTGTTTTAAGCGGCTCTGACAGTCCTGTTTTCGACTTTTCAAATATTCTATAAACTTTTCATATTCCCCATATTGGACATACATGCTTTTCAAATAATTTTTAGATGGTGCGTTTTTACGGAGCAATGTTTCGTGAAGGCGATGTATGGATTTGCATGGAAGTAATGGATACATCATTGGATAAATTTTATCGAATGTGTTTCGATTCAGGTGGTCCTCTGCCAGAAATGTTTATAGCTAAATGTGCTCTTTCGGTGAGTGGAGTGTTGAAATTAAATATTAACTTATTTAATGGCTATTACTTATATGAAGCTGGTTTGTTAGGCAAGGAGTAAGGTGATATGAGTGGTAAACTGTAACGTCTAGTAATAAACTGTTTAATTTCTTGTTCTAAAGGAAGAGAAATATAGAATAAAATTTAGGTTGTTGAGGGACTGAATTTTATGAAGGAGCAAATGAATCTAATACATCGGGACGTTAAGCCATCAAATATACTGCTCAATAAGCAAGGAGCAGTGAAAATTTGTGATTTTGGCATTTCAGGTCATTTGACAAATTCAGTAAGTAATATATCTTATTTTGCAGCATTTCTACCAAGAATTTTTTGGTCTAGCATGTTCCCATGGATGAAGCCAAAACAAACTTACATTTTTTACTCAAAATATTTTAAAATTTGTTTGTTTAGAGCTATCTTTAGGTTGCAAAAACAGTGAATGCAGGGTGCAAACCTTACATGCCACCGGAAAGAATTGAAGGTGAAAAGAAGGTTGCTTATGATGTTCGAGCTGATGTGTGGAGTTTGGGTATTACGCTGGTATGTACGTCTGTTTTAGCACATCAAAATTATAATTATCAGTTTTTGGCTAGGTTTTTCTATCATTCCTCATTTTATTTAGGCCCACGTACTAATTTTCTCATTGTTATTCATATTGAAAATTTTAATTGATTGCTTTTAGGTGGAAATAGCCTCAGGATCCCATCCGTATTCCAAATGGAAAACGCCATTTGAACAATTGAAACAGGTTGTTCATGAACCAGCACCAAGATTGTCTCACAGTTTGGGATTCGGCGATAATTTTCAGGATTTTGTTGCTCAGTGGTATGTAATATTTCAGATTTTGATGAATTTTAATTTTCAGTTTCTAGGTGTGAAACTAATAAAAGTTCGTTTTTTGAAGTTGATGGACACAAAATTGTAGTTTCTTCTATATATATATTTTTTTTTTCAGCCTGACAAAAGATTACAACAACAGGCCGAAATATCCAGATCTGTTGGTTCATAGATTCCTGGATGACGCTCGTAATGATCATAAATTTTCAATGGGAGCCTTCGTCCAAAACATTTTGGGTGTAGCAGAACGCGAACGTGAATCCGTTCTTCAGAATTTTAATACTGAGACGCCAGTTCCAAAACTCGTTGGTCCATCAGAAAATCATAATCGATAATAAGTGACTTACTCAGAAAATAATTTTTTTGAAGAATGTGTAGTAGACTTGCTGTCTCTAGTAATTGATTTTAGCTTTTTTTGGGATATTTTACAGTTGATTCCCTCTCCTTCTTTCCTTTATTCTCACAGTAACGCTAACTTCCATCAGCTGCAGTAGAAATGAAACCGACTGATGAAATTTTTTGTTTTGTAACATTTAAATTTATTTATCGTTGAACTACTCTTCAGAATATGTCACTTGGGCGGTTCAAAACCATTAGGCCAAAAGCATTTGGCCTATTTAGCCAAAGGACCTCATTAAGCAACCAGTTTCTCTTCTAAAATCAAAGTCTTCGCGTCCTTAATCATCTTGCTATTTTTTTTTTCATGTAAGGACTTGTATAATTTCATTCTAGCTTAGAATTCTTGTGTTGACGATGATACTGTATACATTTTAAAGGATTCATACAGGATAGTGATAGTTGAGTGCTACTTTTAGTTTCTTAATGAATTACTAATTGTCATCTTGAAATTTTAAGAATGAGAATATGTATAGTTAACCTAAAATCGTTGGAATGAATTTTAACTTCTTTTCTGTTTTGTAGGATTTACTGCAGTAACCGCAGGATCTATAAAGAAGAGAAGACATCTGTATAAAGTTTCTCTCTTGAAGTTTGGATCGGACAAAATTTTCAGAAAGTGTTCTTACTTTGTTTTGTTTATGTTATTTCGGCATTTTGAGCCAGTTTATGGTCATTGATGTGTTATCCAGAATCACCATTCCGGTAGAACTTCCCCTCAGTTTTTTACGTTTTTATCAAAAGCTGATAACGATTTGTTGAAATGTTTTTGTTCGTATGATCTAGTTTCTTACCAGTTTATTATTTAAAATCGGTTTTTAAATCTTATGTGTTTTTCGGAAGAATATCTCGAAGATTCGATTAGGGTAGTTAGAATTGCTCAGGTTTTAACACTGTAGGGCCAAGTTGTAGCTTGGCATTGTTTTTCTTTTCTTTGTCAATTTGATTTCATATTTAATCATGCCCCGTCGGCAGTATGAACAAACTCAATACTTTCTGCTGTAGTGTTCGTTTTTAATGCTCACTCAGATCATTTTCATCCTGTTTTAATATGTTTAATGTGTCTTTCTTTTATTTAGTCTAATGTTTTAATTGTGATTCGTTCGAAGCAAATGTGCTGAGTTTTTCTGAAATCCAGCAAAACTAAGTTTGTTTTGTGCTGCAGGCTAACCTACTGATTGTTCTACTTTTTTTTCTTTGACTGTTGCAGATTTTACCAAGTTAAATAAAGATGAATGCAATATCCGCAAATAGACCTATTATCTGGTTCCTTACTTTAGTAAGGGATCCGCTATGTTAGCTGACTTGGTACCCAAATTAACCTGGTAAAATTCCTCCTTTTCTACGCTGTGTCCCCTGTTCATTCGGAAACACTTCTGCAACATGCTGGATTAACTCTGTTGTTTTATATGGTTATAATTGAAACCTTATTACTGATAATTCTTGCAAAATAACCCTCTGGGCTAAAAGTCGACAAAGGGGAACGATTCAAGATGATGGTCCTCAATGGGTTTGATTATAGGAGAAGTAGGGATGAAGCAAATGGCGAAGAGAAACGGGTATTTGATGTCGAGAATATGGACCGATGATTTTGTCGTTTTTACTTTTGTTCCCCATAATATCATTAATTTTCGGCTGTCTTTTTTTTTTGGTTTTGCTGGTTGAGTATGGGAAAAATTCAGCGTCTTTTTTGTATTCTTTTTCTTTGTCAATTTAAATATTTTTTCCTGACCACAGAATGCGGCGCGCAGAAAAATAAATTTTTTTTTTACATCAAATGAAAGGGAAAACTTTAAGAATAGAATCTAATAGTTTGATAAATTTGTCGCTAATAAAATTCTGATAGCAGTAATGTGCCGTTACTTGATGGAGACCGATTCAATGATTATTGAGATAATGTAGCAGCTCTTTTTTGGCATTCCTGTAGTGCCTATCACCAGTGTTGATAGCTAGGTGAAATGGGTTTTTTTCTCCTTACTGGAAAAACTCTTATTGATTTCATCAGGAAATGACTAAGAGATAATTTCAGGAAACTGTCCTTTTTTATCAAAAAATACAAATTTTTAGTGGTGTATTCTTTTAGGAAAATTTCTTACATATATCACTGATTTAGATTACCTGCAGGGAACTGAAGAAGCTATTCTATACGGATAAATCGCTTCTGTGAAGTGTTCACCATTACCATTTACACTTAGAGTAAACTCTTCTCTGGTTGTAGTAAATTTGACCTCAATTAGTCAAGAATGTGACTTAGGAATTTACTAATTTTAATTCCATTTCTGTGACAGGGAGACAGAAGAAAAGAAAAATAGTGAGAAATAAGTACGCATATGCACATGCACATTTACAAGGTCACAATTACATTCGTTCTCTTCCACAAATACCATCGTAGGTAGCGGTTATGTGGTTAAGTACACGTCTTATCGCATCTTTCCCGCTATAATGTCAGCAGTTTTTCACTATTTTTTAGATCATTTCATTATGCACCCCTTAAATTGTCCTGAAGATGTTATTTCTGGAGTATTTGCTTCCCTCTCTCTCTATTGGAACTGTGCATAAGAACTTCTAAATTATTTGCTTCTGTCGTTTCTGTACTTTTATCTGCTTTTCCTACATTATAATCATCGTCGTTTCATTTTTTGTATGTAGGAAGAGGAAGCATGTTTTTATGCAGGAGCTGAGCAGGTTTCCTATAAATTATTCGAACGCTGCTGTCACTCATTGCATGTTGTATGAAAGATGTTATTTTAATCTTGTTCACAGAAAGCAATCGAGGTGGTGCTGTTCAGATAATTTAATTATATAAAACTTTCCATTCCGCTAAGCAAATTTTCAAAATTTCGTTGAACATTTAGAAGATTAACTATTAACAACCATTTTGTCGTTTCTTAATTTTCGAATTTTGAGAAGGTAACTTTCGTTATATTGTATTGAGATTCAGTTGGAAGTATTTTTTTAGGTGCACATGGATTTGAAAAAAACATTTTTTAAATCTTCTCCTTCTTTTAATTTCCTCTCATCTTTTTCTCCTTTGTTTTTGTGCTTCATTTTTCGCACCAATCACAAAGTAAACTCATTTGGTGAGCAATATCAACAAACAAAAATTATTTGCGGCGCATCTGCATGCTTCTTCACGTGATGACTTATCATAAGTTTTAAACTGAGGAAATTAGTCGGTTCTTCATTCACCATATTCATATTTATGTAATCATCAGATTTCATTACAGCAGACTAGAAATTTGAAGGGTGAAAGAAAATAAACGATCCGAAAACGAGTTTTTAAGTTCCTATAAACTTTTCTTCCTCTCTCCTGCCTTACTCATCCCTTTCCTTCGAAATGGTCATATGATGACCTCTCTTTCCGTTGAGCTGTAAACCATTACCTCGTTTGAAACACATTTTCTTTTATGTTATGATCTTCCTTTTTTCACTATTTCATTGCAGGATGCTGGCTGATGCGTTATCAAACGAAACAAATTTCTTTTTTTAGATTGAAGTTTAAATTTTATCATGGAGCAGTTATTAGAAACATCAAAAATTTTCACATTTTGCTAATAAATATCGGTAATGTCTGGAACATTTGAGTTGTATCGTTCACCCGTCTCGACCACTTGTCTCTCTACCTAATTTATGCAAAAAAAATTTTACTTCGAACTTGTTGCTCATATTTGTTTCTGCATTTTAAATTTTTTGATCGCATTTTTGATCTGATGGAATTATCCCTAGTATTCAGCTCTGATTGCAATCAGTAACTTCTATACAGAGGAAAATCTACTGGAAATGAGAAATTGAAGTTCAAATGAAGTTCAGAAACAGTTTTCTTAATTCTAATGTGGTATTTTCAAGAATAGATGCCTATAAATTTTAGCTGGAAAACATACATAACTTTATTACCATTAAATGATAAAAGTATAGAAAAGTGAAAATGGCTTTTGCAATTTTATTTGATGTTATTTGACGATTTAAATTTGTATTCTACTTATCATGATGGTACCAGAACCTCATAATTTCCGGAGCAAACAGTGATGGACATGAAGAGGAATGAAGGCCTTCTGGAAGCTTTTTTTGCGCTGACTGCTATCATATAAAAATAATTGAAACTATTATGCAGTAAAAATTTTGTCACGACTTGACTGTAATTTTCCTTTTTTGAGAGTTTACTAGTAAAATAATAACAGGTATTGGTTTTAAATTTTGCGTTCGATGATAGGACATGTACGAGTTGCATGCGCTAAAAATCGTTTTCTATCCATTTTTGGAGTCTTACTGTGGCGGAATGCTGAATGTTGATACTGCATGAAATGTGTGCAACAAGTAATGCTGACCAGTGCCATCCTACTGCCATTCTCTTCATATTTTCAATGTCACCAAGGCCAATTTTTATTTGAAGAAGTCAAGAATTTCAGTGAGGTGGAAGTCCGGTGAAGCATTGAGTGCGCAGTAAGCAAATAAATGCCCCTTTACTCGCCATTCAACCTTACTCTCTTTTCTTCGCCTCTTTTCCTGTTTTCCCTCAGCTACCCGTGCTATTTTAAATAATGTTCGATGATATGCTTCCCCGTCATTAATTTTATTAGTTATCTCAAATTCGCCTGAAATTAATACCGTTACATCTCGTTCATCCATCTCATTCGGGTTTGCATTGTTGATTAACCTAACGAGTCATTGAAGTTCTTTCGTTCCTCACAACTGTCCATGTTGTTTTTTTTCTTGTCACAGTATCATTTTTCTTGTCTTTGAATTGTGAGCAATAAATATTGAGATACTACCATTACTCTTTCCATTTTTAGAGATATTAATCAATACAATATTCATTATCTTGTTCTCCTCTAGTTATAAACTAAATTGGTACCACAGCTCCATTTGGTACTGTAGCTTCATTTCTGATGAATAGATTTCATGCTCTCATAGCTGATCCTGTTCTTAATAAACGGTAAAATGTAACTAGACTAGCTTAACACCCTGAATTTCACTTCCGCTTTAATTTATGCTCATTTATGATTTCTATCTTTTGCTTCAGTTTTTTGATTAATGCAGTAAAAGCTATTAATGAGCTTTGGCTTTAAAATGTTGAGTAGACGACGCATGTCTTTCTCATAAAGTTTTGGTTAACTCCTACTGCCATTCTCTTCATATTTTCAATGTCACCAAGGCCAATTTTTATTTGAAGAAGTCAAGAATTAAGGTGAGGTGGAAGTCCGGTGAAGCATTGAGTGCGCAGTAAGCAAATAAATGCCCCTTTACTTTGGCTTTAAAATGTTGAGTAGACGATGCATGTCTTTCTCATAAAGTTTTGGTTAACTGCCTCAAAATCTTCGTAATCCATTTCAAATTCCAAGGAAATGAATTACTACCATTACTCTTGAATGTCTCATTAAAGCTGTAGTACAATATACGCTTCAAGATCAGTTGCAATTATTACGAATTTTCCTGGAACATCACGACAGTTTTGGAAGGCTTACCTTTATGGTATAACTTATGCGATTTTGTTTGGGTCATTAAATGGAAGTGCGACATTCAATATCTTGATCTTTTTATTCACTGATTTCAGTAATTAAAGTGTTTTGCGCATCTGTTCTCGAGATCCAAATAATAGTATTATTTGAATCTCAAGAACTTTTTCGAAAAAATATACAGTGCAAAAAACTTCGTTACTTCCTTGTCATCTTAGTAACAAACGATAATTGTGTTCCGGGAATCTTCAAATGCGCTTTTGTTACACAATATCTATTACAACTGAAATAAATAATTTAGAACAACTGTTGGATCCTTTTAAATGTTAGCTTCACGGTTTCGGCATCAGACATTTTCATGCATATGACCCATATAGTGATATACGTGATAAATATGATCCTATAGTGATCAAAAACGTGGAAATGGATAAAAAAACGTTTCGCGCAGAGATTTAGATTTGAAACAGAACGGAGGTACTTTCTGACTCTATGCTTTCCTTGAATTTTCTATTGAGGTATACTTAATCATTTTATGCTGGCCGAAATGTCGCTAATTACAATAAATGCTAAAGGATGAAGTAGATAAATTTTTTTTGCGGGAAAAAAATGAAATTTAGAGAAAAGATACCTCTACCTATGGTAGTAATAAGAAAGGAATGCCACTACTGTTTACTTCGAAACTGATGTCTCCCACCGGCTTAGTTCAGTTGTAAAACAGATGCTCCATTCATCTCCTTACTATCCAAACCGGAAAAAATCATCGTAAAGGAGGGAGGACAAAAGAGGGATCGCATAATTTCAATAGTTCAAATCCACAAGCCACTTCACGCTTCCTTCTCCTCCGTATCCTTCTAAGATACCGGTAAGAGCAAGAGACGAATATACTTGATATAGGATTGATGATCGAAATTTCTCATCTCTTTGACTATAGCCTTAAATCTCTAGACTATAGTTTTTATTCAGTCAATTTCTCTGACCTGCTGCCTGTTGCCTTTCAGTCTTTTTGTTGATTATCTGAAATTACTATTCCTCAAATTTTGGTGACCATTTCCACCTGAAAAACTCATCATCCAACGAATTCAGTTTGCTTGCCAGTTGCTGTATTTGTATTTGTTCGAACACATTGTATGTTGAATATAACCTTTTTTTTTTTTCTCTCTCTCTCCGTTTTCTTCCTTCATATTTTGATAGAAACTTTTTAACCAATATATTTGAAATCCTCCATCTATCTTCCTCAAAAAAAAAAGAAATCTTTTCAACTTTGAACGTTTAAGAAAAAAAGAAATTCACGAATGAAATCCTGCGAAAAAAGGTGGAGGGAATTTCAGGTCTGTTCTTTTTCTGCTTCATATTCCTTAAATTATTGGGTTTTGATAATCCATTTAAAAAAAACTTTATGATTTTACCTTTACTTACTTATTTTCTTACTTCAAAATTTATATTAAATTTCGAGATAATTCCATTTTCTAAGTGATCAATCAGTTTATGTTTTCAGGACTATTTCGGTATTCAGAACAACGTATCTTTCGGTGTCTTTCTGTAACAACGTACCCGTTGTGTGGGACAGATGTCATAGTCAACCTCATATGATGGGCCTAAAAAAACCCACTATCGAATCATTTCGTTTATTTCATTGTATGGCTAGATTTTCAGTGGCCACATATATAGACAATTATCGAAAAAAGATTATTAAAACTTGACCCTCCGATTTCATTAAAAAGTAATATTTACAATCGTTGTGTAAGCAATACCAAGATAGCATTCTCTACTTCAATAACATATTTTAAATTAAAATTGTAATAAAATGTTCTGTTTTTCAACAACATATTTCAGTCTAAATTTAATATAAAGCATTTTCTTGATCTTCACCAACTGGGCTGTGATATTTCCTTTTTTTCCAAATCATTTCTATTCTAAAATTGCTCTATAGCGGTCAAAACCATATTTTCACCTGACGTCTTTCAAAAATCTAACAATATTGCTTGATTTATCACTTCTTGCCGCAAAAAAAATCTTCCTGTGACTTTTTCCAGAAAACAATGTGTTAGGAATCGGATTGATTGGGTCTTGGCACTGATACTGATAATAAGACAAACAAAAAATTGGTTTGAAGTTTGGAATTTCTTAATGAAGTTTTCATTGTGAATATATATATATATAAACGAGTTTATAGTCATTAAAATGTTTATGTTGTTCCCTATCAGTACTATCTTTGCCTGGTTAGTTTATTTAATTGGACTTTTTATTTGCAGTTTGCTATATGGCCTGGATGACTTCCGTATTATTTATTTATTTATTTTTTTCTGATTTTATTAAAACGGACGCAGAAATTGCATATACAATTTTATATATCCGAGACTTTTGAATTATCTGGTATAGAAGAACTGGTAAAATGATTGTATGTATCGTACCGTCTCTCATAATATAGAAAAAATAATTGCGAACAATTAAGGGAATAGAAGAAAATGATAGGTAGATAAGTTTGAGTAACCCAAACTTGCAATAGAAATAAGGGATAAACGAAGGAAATATAATGAAAGCGGGAATAAGAAAATAAGACAGGAAATAAGTAACAGTCAATGTTTCAACTTAAATCAAACTTGGAGATGTAATATTACCAGTGTAATGTGGGTACTGTATTCTGTGAAGCCTCTTAATCTTTCTTTTTTGTTCAAATTTCTTTAACTTATTCATCATATCGGTTTGTTGTATTCCTACAGCGACCGTATAAAATTTTTCGCATTCTCATAATTTCATTCTATTCCGTTTTTATATGCTGAATTCATTCATATTTTTCCGAATTATAGATATTACGCTTAATCAAGTTCATATGTTGACATAGGAATGGTTTAGTTTAAATTAATTTTAGGGTGCACAGAAAGGTCGCTTACGTAAAGAGGCCATCTATCCTTTTGTAACCGACCTCTTTTCCTCTGAAATATTTAAAGACATATGTTGCAAGTTTAGTAAACTGAAAATGAACTTTGCGTAATAATTTTTTGGAGTCCAAATAATTTCTTTTAGAAATCTGTGATATCATCTATTGGCAATATTGTGGCTAAAATAGATGTAAAATCTTTGTAAAATCTTTAACTCTTTGTAAAATCTTAAAAAATCTTTAACTACCAACCATAATCTATCATTTGTTTCGTCTGACGCCAAGGTCATAAATAGTTGAATTATTAATAAACACCATATCGATTCACCATCTTTTATATTTTTTCAACAAATTTTCGAAATGTTTACACTGGAATTATTACTGGGGAAAACATTTCCAGATAACTGTCTTTCTTATAGTCTTTGCTCTCTGTTTAATGGCAGCCAAGAAAGTTCTTTTCTTTTAAAAGGTTAGAATGAGTTCAAATTTATGAACGTTGGAAGTCTTTGCATTTATTTCTTTTTTTTCTAATAAGAAGGAGGGAAATAATCTAGCAAGTGTGATGATATCACCGATCTATTCAAGTACAAGATTCCTGCTGTGTTGCTGTATTTTGCTCATCTTGAACAAATGCTCTGCCGAAATCAGGAATAACTATCCTTTCACTTCTATTGTTATTGATTTTGTTTTTTTTTTTTTGTTAACAAATTTCTTTCCACTTTGCTGATTTGCAGACAGTTCTCAATACGGGTCAATTTATGGAGCTAAAAATATGGAAAATTGTCTCTAAACAACAAAAAAAAACCTGCAGAAATCATTAACGGCTATCGGTGACTGTTTGCAGTACTCCTTCTGCTCTGCTTCCCTGCCTCTTGTACACACCGTTATCGGTGTCGCCCTTAGTATCGTCATCGATATTGTCGTCATCAGGTGCGAAATATTTAAGAGCGCTTTTCTCCTGGTTTATTCTAAAAATTTCATCTCTTTCATCTTCGTTTCCTTTATACAATCTGACAAGCTAACGCATCCCTTGTCCGCTGACAGGGGACAATGCTGCAAAAATATCTGACAGTTTCGGTAGGAAGAATGGAAAATTTAAGTTTCCTTTTGATTGCTTAACTAGAACTTTGACTTCCGACAGAATGACTTTCAATATAATGATCATAATTTGATAAGGATTGTGATGGCATTATTCGGCTAATAAGCCAATATTGATCATTAATCAGTAACAAAATGCTAAATTTCGCTTAAATTCGTGTAGTTCACGTCACACTATATGAATCCATCTATTGTTC